GACTTTTGTTGCTTTTTAAAATACCTTAAAATATTACACTATACTTTGGCAGTAGATCACAGTTGGTGGCAGTAAGAGAAGAAAACAAAACAGCAATGTCACTGAAGAATTACCACAAGCCCACATTGTCTTGTTGAACAGTCACTGGGTTTTTTATAGGCCCCCAGAGGGGGCTTGAAGACCTCCAAGTGGCTGCCATTGTATCAGGTCTTACTCTTGGGATCGATGTGGATGATTCTGTCTTATCACATACCATCCAATGCAAAGCAATGGCAGTCAGGGAAGTGCTTTCAGAGCAAGTCATGCTTCTCTCAGGGGCACTAGTAAACAGATTTTAATTCGAAGAGTTTTTATTTCTTTGTATTCATCAAAAGGAGTGCATCTAATAATCAATGGCCTGCTAGATGTGATGACATAGAATATTTACAACATCTGTCCGTTGGCTTTGCAGATGAATAACAAGTGGAATTGGCTCCAAATTCTTAAGTACTGTAATCCTCCTCTGAAATTTCTGTAGAAGAATGTGTGATCTTCATCACTGCAGGAAAAACACCCAAAGAAGGCATTTTGTGCTCCACTCAAATGGATGTTCATCAAATATTTCCGGCAATTCAAAACAGTGTTTCTGCTGCTCTGAGTGTAAGAAATTAATGCCGCATTACTGAATCTTGTTCCCTTTACTCTTACTGTTTTCAGTATTCATTTATTCGGACCAGAGTTCGACTTGTATACGAGGGCTTGAAGATACAATAAACACACACACATAAGAGTAAGTACAAAGGTATTACTATAAAATCATAGACACTTTTACTTAACAAAAATCTCAAAACGTGAAGCTGTTGTTTTTCAACACATCCTGCACCAAGTTCCTATGGGAGTTGGCTTTCCCACCTCTCCAGCCCTTCCCTGACAGATCCTGCACTCTCCAAAAGGACACCTTTCACGTCGTCTCAATGTTCTTAGAGTTTGGGGAACAAAAAGAAGTCAGTGGATGGGGTGAAGTTTCTCAACAAAATGCTCACACAAAAGACCTTCCTACCCTCGAAGAATAAGTGCAAGTGTATTGTGCTGGGGGGAAAAAGTTGCAACAGATCACAATGATCTACATAGAAACCCTTCCCTGGGGGATGGACAACAGAAAGGTGGGTAATGGGAGACACTGGTCAGTGGAAGACATAAAAAAATAATAATAATTTATAAATTATCAAGGGTTTTTGAGGGAGGAGGGGTGGGAAGGGAGGGGAAAAATGAGGAGCTGATGCCAAGGGCTCAAGTAGAAAGAAAATGTTTTGAAAATGATGATGGCGACAGATGTAGACGTGCTTGGCATGATGGATACATGTGTGGATTGTGATAAGAGCTGTACAAGCCCCCAATAAAATGATTTAAACAAAAAAGGGAAAAAATTGCACAGTACAGCTTTCCTGATTTTTCCCCTC